AAGTTAAACACTCAATGCAAAAAGAGTTTCATAATGGACAAGAGAGAGAAAAAAATCAAAAATAAACTCAGATCAATCCTTTACTAAAATAAAGGCTAGAAGTTGCAATTAAGTCAAATCCAAACTTAATTTAAATAAAAAATAGGAAGCATTTTCTGAGCTTTCGAAAAGTTTCAGTTTCTGAAAGGAAATGCTACGCACACACAAGTATATATGTTACGACATGCATATTAGTAAACGCAAAGAGAATAAAGGGTTGATCGGCTAAATTCCCTATAATGAACATGGCGAGGGAGATGAAAAATCTCCAGGAACTACCTTGCAGCGTCAAGAAATTTCTGAGTACTTACTACTTATGCGACACAGAAAATTTAGGTTCAATGTTTAATTTGCAGAATCTGGAACATACAAGAACCAACTTGCACCAACTAGAAAAATCAGACAGAATTGCAACTGGAAATATTTTAGACAAGGGAAATTAACATGAGGGGAACTTGGACAAATTTGTTAAAAGTTTAGGACCTTTTGCGAATTGAATGAGGGCCAAGCAAAGCAAGGATTCCTGAATCGTTCCAAGAGAGAATCAAGTTTAGCTTGCAAATTTTGTATGCCATGGAAGAGTTCGTTAAAAATATTATTGGCCGATCAACTGAAAACTCAAATGATCAAATAGCAATTAATTTATGGACCAGCTCAATCTACCAATCTTATAGCAGTCACGGTAAGAAGGAGGTTTTGAATCCCAGTGTACCAGAGCGACACGTGAAATGTCATTTTTTGGCATTGCTGGATAAGGTTTACTTTGGACTTGGTCCTAGAGAGACAATGCATAAAATATGAATCCACACATTTATTGAAATAAAGTAGTTATTCCATCGTTCACACTGAATGTGGCCGGTGCACGTGCGGTCAAGCTAGAGGAGATTGGGAACATTTTATCTGAATAAGAAGGAATACGATGGAGACACTTTTGAATCCATTCATGGAGATTTGGACGAAGCTATGAACTTTAAGAATTTGTGTACAATAATAAATTCACAAAATCTGCTCCAAATAATGTTTCTAAAAGTGAGCATGGTCAGAGAGACACAATACTCGACGTATGATAACAAGCAGCACCTCATAGTGTTTTATGTTTTGTATTCCCTACTAATAAAACTTACCGTTTGTTTAAAATTGTAATTTCAAATTTACCTATAATTTAGACCTAACGTGCCGAATTACACAATTCAAAGCTACAAATCACTTTTCAATTATCTCTAAATGGTTAATCAATCACGTCAATTTATCATATAGTGAATTACCACAATTTTTAATATGAAAGCAATAAAGAACACCAAATTGATCATAGAGAAACTCCAACTAGGTAAAAATTTCGGGCACTTTCTCCGTCAATAATCCACTATAAATCAAAGCAACCTTATAGTGCAGATTAGACCCGTCTATCCCTTAGAACTTCTAACCTCAATTCCTAAAGTCTTCCTTGGTCCTACTGGAGGTGTGCTCCTTCAAAACAAATTTCGAATCCTGATTTATACCTTAGCCCTCCTGGACTGCGTGTTTATAACGTCATATCCCAACTCCTGTTACCTCACCTAGGTCCTCCTGAATTTGTGCTTCTAAAAAAACTCCTGATCCTTGATATCGATTTATCTCTGGTGGATTAAATGAAAAATTCCTCTTTCTTTGGGTTGGTATTTAATTTATGAAACAATCTTTGTGTCTTGATCAGTGGCTTAATGTCTAATGATGTGAAAATATTTGGCTCAATTATATTTCAATTAATGGAATGATTTATTGGTCAAAGAAATATCTTGGCTTGGAAAGATTTTATGAACACAATGATATGGTGGTTAAATCTAGAGATAAAAGAATGAACCACATTTTCTAAACGAACCAAAGCCAATCCGAATTGATCTTGTAAAAGATCCGCTACAGAACGAATACGTTTATTTTTCAAATGATTCATATCGTCAAAAACTTCAAGGAACTATCTCTATGAAATAATCAACACAACATTACATTGTTCACGTATGCAATAACGTGTTTCATCAATACCTATAAGAAATTAGAACAGGAATATGGATTTTACCACTTGTGAAGAGAATGTCAACTTCTGGA